CTCCCAGTGGAGAGAGCTTACAATTTATAAGCATGGTGAGGCGGTGACGTGAGGGTAAAGGCACTAGCTTTTCGAGGAGGATAGCTACAAAAGATAAAAACAATTAAGGTAATTTTGATCTTTGAGAGCATGTATCCCACATGCACTTAGCTTCCTGGGCTCCTTGAATCTTGGACTGAGTCGGATTGATGAACCGGGCTTGGCTTATATTTTTAATAGATCTGAACTTGCTTGATTTATTGGGTCTGACCCAATTAGATCTGAGCTCGTTAACTACCGTTAAAAAAAGAGATAGAAAGTGTCATGTACCTTGCACATGTGAGTGTTGACGGGTGTTTTTGTCATTGTGCTTTCAAAATATAGGGCAAAAATGGAAACCCAAAATAATCTAAGGGACGGATAACCCACCAGAACTGGCGGCTAATTGTAGACAGAGGGCCACGCAAAGTGTTTTTGTGGTAGAGAAAAAAGAGGGGTAAATTGCATCAATAGTCTAAGGTCTAATGTTAGTCGTACTTTAATCTTTAAAGTTTTAATTTCGTTAATTTAATCCTCGATATTCACACATTCACCTAACGTGGTCCATCACACTAACTTCCGTCCAAAAATGTGATGGAAAATGTCATGTGCCAGAATATTGATGGGCATTTTTGTCATTACACTTTCAGCACATTGGGCATACATGAAAAAAATAAAATAGTCTCACAAAAAAAAAAATAATAATAATATTACCCTCCCACTTATCGACAGTCTACCAGAAAACACTCCGAGCCAAAGTAGCCTCCGATAACATTGTTGGCAGCAATGTCGACGACTACCCCCATTTCTCTCTCTCTTTGCAAGAGATCGATTTACAACAACTTACAATTTAGAGATTAAAAAAAACGGAGGAAAAAACTGAGAAAGAGATAGATATACAAAGTATTGGCAACCAATTTCGCATGATCATCAGTCCAAACAAACCCAGGAAAAAAAAAAAAAGCAAGGATAAAGCATCACTACAACATTCAATGCAGAGACAACAAAAACAGCGGAAAAAAAATCACAGAGAAAGAGAGGGAGATTTACAGAGTATTGGCAAGCTTAATATTAGCTTCGAGAACTTTAATAGAATCTTTGAACGACTTTCCCATGGCCACAATTTTGCCGAAAAATAACTCCCATTCAACAGTAGAAAAATCCTTGAAAAAAATAAAAAAGTAGAATAAAATCTCCAAGTTGGTGGAATCCATTTTCGACCGCTGGAATCGATCGCCACCATCCACCACCCCTAGAATCGATCACCATTGCTGAAATCCATCCTCTCCCTCTCCTTCTCTGCCCTCTTACATTATGGATTAGATTAGATTTATTTTCTGATATTGATGGATTAAATTTAATGGAAATAAGGACTGAATCCTCCTTAAAGGACTTATAATGAGTTTAGTACTTGAGGATAAGTCTTTTTTTAATTTTATTAATAAGTAGTTAAGTTTATTAATTTTTTTTTAAATTTCAAAATATCCTTTCTTGAAAACAATTTTAAATTAATTTTCTAACTTGAAAATTATTATCCTTTAATTCACTATCAATGAAAATATTTCAAATTTTTTTTTTACATAAATTTGAAATTCAAATTCAAATAACAACTAATACTTTCTCTTTCTCTCTCTCTCCCTTTACATATATATACTAGTCATTGTCCGTGTCTGAAAACACTATATAACCCATAAAAAATCGCAAATAATTGTTCATCTTAAAAAAAAAAGTAGGTCAAAAACATTCATATCAATTCTTTTAAAATAACCCGAAATATATTGTCGATCATATCTTTCATATTAATAAAACTATCCCAAAAATATATAAAAAAAATTTCTCAAAACAATATCACATATACCAATACATCGGGAAAAAAAATACTAATGAAATCTAATAGCATTTATAATTTTTAAGTAATATAAAATCTTACTCATTTATAAGGCGTATGAATTTATCACCATTATCACCATTCAACCAAATAACACAATATAATTATAAATTCAATTACTTATTATTTTTTTATTGCTATTAGCTTGGGCTTTGAATTTTTGTTTTTTTTTGTTTTTTTGATGCAATTGGTATCACTTATTATTTTTTTATTGGTAATTAGCTTGACTTTGATTTTTTTTTTTTTATGGTGCAACTTGACTTTGCATGTCTACAACTTGGAATTTTTTTTTTAGCATTCAAAATTTTTTTCTTTCTATAAAATTTCTCAAATATTTAACTTTGTCATTTTTTTTTATCAATGATTAGCTTTAGTTTGAATGTCTACGACTTGGAAAAAAAAATTATAGTTGGTTTTGAATATTATTTTTTGGTGCAATTGGTTTCATTTATTTATTTTTATTGGCAATTAGCTTGGTTTTGAATTTTTTTTTTTTGGTGCAATTGGTATCACTTATTATTGTTTTATTGGTGATTAGCTTGGTTTTGAATTTTTGGATTTTTGTGATTAGTTTGGTTTTGAATGTCTATGAATTTTTTTTAACATTTAAATATTTTTTTCTTCTATAAAATCAAACAAATGTATGACTAAGAAGTACCGAAAATAGCAATAGCCTATTTCACACATAACATTTAACAATAATAAAATCATGTCAAAACTGCAAATTTTGAATAAAAAAGTACTGAAAATAACAATACACATTTAACACATAACATTCACTCACAAAAAAATGGTGATGGTGATTAGATTAATATAAATCATATTTAAATCCGAAATTTAATACAAAATTTAAATTCGAAGAAATTAAATGCCAATCGATTGATATTCCTGAATTAAATTCAAAGGAGAGATTGGGGAATACAAATTCCTGTAAAATAAATTTTTCTTAAATGTGAGGCCTATAAAACTATTTTTGTCTTTTGAGTTCCCTCTTTCTTAGACTGTTGCCTTCTCCCCTCTGTCTCTGGCTCGCCACCATGGATGTTCTCTGTTCCACAACTCTCTGGGATCAATATTGAACAATCTCAAATACCCATAAGGCCACGTGTCCTACTGGATCATTTCATAATCTCCAATTCTCCGAGGATTATTTCACACCATTGAAATGTAAATCCCTAGTCTATGATCACTGGTTACTTCTTCTCTCTCTCTCTCCAGAATAGAAATGCATATGAATATCTATATATTTGCATGTATACACAGATTGGGGCCATTTGAAGCTTTTCTTTCAGTGATGGAAGAATTGGATGTGGGTCTAGCCAGGCATTCGTAATCAGTTTATTACCTCTGTTTTTGGTCTACTTATTTACTCTCATACATAGTTCGATAACAGTAAAAGATAGTGAATGGAAAACCCTCATACAGAGTTCTACTTATATACCCCTCTCTCGCAGCGTTTTAATAATCGAAATGGGAGAGCAGTCCACCAAGAGACAGTTCTGTGAGAAGGCGAAGATGCTTTTTCAAAACCAAATTCAAAAATATTTAATAAAAATAACAGACTGCATTGTACAAAACTGAGTTGTTGTCAGATATAGGCAAGCTGCTTCGATAATACAAGGTTCACAAAGTTCGATTAATCACAGTTCATAGGAGACAAAAAATGAACACACAGGCGCACACACACAAAAAAAACCCAGAACACAGAGAAAGAGAGAGCGAGATAGAGAGAGAGAGGGAGATAATTTAAGAAAGCCAGAACACAAAGACACAACAAACCCAGAATACACACTCACAAAACCCCAGAATATCTGGACTCCTGGTGTTTGCCTGTTGCAGTGGGTGTTACTCCGGTGTGTTGTGTGTTGCAGGGGCAAGGTAGAGACAGACAGGAAGGGGAGAGAGAGGGGTATTGTGAGATAGTTAGACTTGCTGGAGGTCTGTGGGTGAGTTAGCAATTGAGATGAGGGATTACATAGGTTATTTGTTTTTAAAAATGAGAGAGAGTCAGAGGAGGAGTCTTGATAGATAGGATTAGATAGGTTATTTGTTTTTAAAAATGAGAAAGAGTTAGAGGAGGAGTCTGGCCAGATAGGATTAGATAGGCTATTGGTTTTTAAAAATGAGAAAGAGTTAGAGGAGGATTAGATAGGCTATTTGTTTTTAAAAATGAGAAAGAGTTAGAAGAGGAGTCTGGCCAGATAGGATTAGATAGATAATTTGTTTTTAAAAATGAGAAGGGAGTTAGAGGAGGAGTCTCGGCCGATAAGATTTTTTAAAAAATGGCTATAATGAGGACCGTTAGATCAAAAATTGTGAAGTAATCTGAGCTGCGAAAAGCTCAAGACAAACATTTCTAGCTACTTTATTAAATAGATATATATTTTTTACTCTGTTACTATTCATGTTACTATTTTTATGAACATGTTATTGTTTTTGTTGGGCATATTACTATTCATGTTACTGTTTTATTGAGCATGTTACTATTGTTATTTTCCCAAATATTAGTACTCATTGTTTTTTTTTTTTGAATATTATTATTATTTTTGTGTTTAAATGTTACCTTTTTTTTTTTGTGTGTTTAAATAGTACTATTTTTTATGTTTGAATGATACTATTTTTTGCGTTTAAATGTTACTAGTTTTTTAATGTTATTATATGTATGTATGTATGTGTGTGTGTAGAGTTGAGTTTGAATTTTGGAGATAAAGAGAAGTCGAGATCGTTTTGAGACAAAACATAAACATATTCAATGGACAACGTAATTCCAACATAAAAAACGGTTCAGATCATCTCATAAAATGGTGATTCCTACAATGAGTGTTGAATTTTGTTTTCCTTTCCAACAACATTTCCTAACTCACGTCTCTCTCTCTCCAAATCTCTCAGGCCTCTCTCTCCCAATCTCTCACGCCTTTATCCCTGCCTTCTAAACTCATCCCTAAAATCTCTCTCATGGAATCGATCATAATCTCACTTTTGCCTCTCTCTATATTTAATCTTGTTTCTCTCTCTGTTTCTTTATTTCTCTATATGATCAGCAAAAAAACAAAAATCCAAAACAATCGCAGCACCACATCTCGCCCTATATCTCTCATGGCTCCCAATCTCTCCCTCCCTCATTGTAGCGCCTAGCCCAGCCCCCCAACGAATCAGAAACCCCACCAACTGCCATAAAACCATCAACCACCCCTAGCGACAACCACGATAATGAAATTAGTGATCGCCACTGTCGCTGATGACCGCCAGCAACTGCCACGCCAGTGACACCCCCAGGTAATTCTTTCTCACTCACTATTTGTTCATCTCCTTGCTTCTCTATCTCACACTTGCCACTACCCCTGATCATATCCACAACCCCTTTTCCCCTTTTCTTCCTTCCCACAGCCTCAAACTCCACATAAACCCTAATCTACCAACAATTGACACAGAACCTCACCGCCAGTGAAGACGCCATCAGCGATGTCTTTCTTCCCAAGCTCTCCAGGTATCTCTAACTCCCCCTCTCTCTTCTCACACCCGAAACCCCTCTGTCACACCCACACTCACTCCCACACCCAAACTCAATCATCTCTCTCTCTCTCTCTCAAAATGGCATTATCAACTGCAACCTATAAGTTGTTCGACAAAATGTTCCAAAGGATCTTGACTTAAGCCCCCTCTCTTCTATACACGTAAATCTACAAGTGCTTAATTAGGGTTTGGTTTTCATAACGATTGTGTGATTTTGGAATGGGAGTTTGATGAATTATATTTTTGTGTTGTCTTAAATTTCAGCATACATATGTGATTTGGTGTTGCCTTAACTAAGAAAGGGGTTCTCTGGTGCCATCTTACTACTCTGGACATTTGATTTCGTGCTTTTATGAAGATGAATATCCACAAGGTACTCTTATTTTTTCCTATTTGTTTAGTTTTCATAACTGTCCATAGTTTGGTACGTTGGTATATGTTCAGCGAACAAATATCTCCTGCTACTTATGAGTTATGATTTTTTTCCTCTGTTTGTACATTAAACTCAATGCTTATTATTATTATTATTGTGATAACCATTCATAGCAAATGATTGTTGATTGAATTGTTAGTTTGATGTTTATTTAGTGTTTAGTTTTGTGATTTTTGTTTGTAGGTCCAAGCTTTTGGGTTTCAATATGTTCAATGGAATAAAGAAATTGTCATGTGAAGGCTTGAGAAACCCCTTACTTCATCTCTAACATGATTGTCCAAGTGTTAGAGTATGTGTGGCTCATATTTGTTGTGTGCACAATGGCAAAGAGGCAGATGCCAGAGCGGGCGGAGCCCGCGACGGCATTTGCCTTGCTGGATTTGTATAAAGGGGATGCTAATTAGTTAGGGGTGCAAGGGCAACGCCCCCGCAGTACGGTACAGGGGTATTTTTGTAAATACGTCCGTATTAGGGTTATATAAATACTAAAGATATAACCCTACTTTTAATAATGAAAAAGAACGGCCGCTCGCTCTCGTGAATGTAGGCACATTGTCAAACCACGTAAATCTCTGTGTGTTATTTTCTCCTGCTCTATTAATTGTTTGATTCCTTATTATTCACCATAATTGTTACACGATCACAACACCAAGCCAAACTCAACTTTTGTGTGATTATGGTAATTAAATATGTTGTCGTAGTTGTCCATTAATCCATATATTGAAAAACCCCAACATCGAGTACAATATCTATCACATCCATCAACAACTGCATATCTTTGCCACCTTCCTATACATAGAAATTCACCCAAAACCCTTAGATAAAAAGGTTCACCGTGAGTCCTACTTATTCACAAATAGTGATACAAATAAAAAAATATTATGACCTATATACATACAAATTATGTTTAAAGGACATTAAAAAAAAAACACCACCCATGATTACATCCCAATCGACTCTCTAAACTCGACAGTGGCCTCCTCGCATCTTTAGTGTTTTTCCTGAAAAGTTATTGAGACCATTAGTGAGAGTAAGGATGCAATCAATAATCATAAGCACACCAAGAGATAGAAATTTTTTATTTATTTATTTAGGAACAAGCTTAACCACGTTTCAATTACCAACATTCAAATTACACTATAGGACTTAGACGTTGTTCGGATACATCACATAGACATAACTTGTATAAATCACATACGCAAAATTTTAACACTAAAATAGTTGCTTTCACATAATTAAACAATGCCATACAACGAATTCCCTCACGCATAACCCTGGCCACACAGGAAATTCAAGCTACACTGATAATTCTCGTCACTTAGACGACATTTACCACATAAATAATTCTCATCACTTAGATGACCTAAATGAGTAATTTAATTCTGTCATAAAGATGTCGTTGTTTAATTAACCCGAATCACAAGTCTAATTTCTGTCATGACTCGAATTAAGCAATTAAATCTTGTTTTATTGGTGACTCATAATCACGTAATATTTCCTGTCACATAGACGATACACAACTACTTATTAATTTCCGTCACATAGACGTTATACAATCACTTAATATTTTCATCACGAAGACAACACACAAACTTAATATTTCCCGTCACGTCGACGACTCATATGCTTAATATTTTCCCGTCACATAGATGACATACAAACTTAACATTTCCAGTCATGTAAACATCACACAATCACTTAATATTTAACTTCACAAATATGACACACAAGCTTATTTTTTCCCCGTCATGTAGACGACACACAAACTCAATATTTTCCGTCACGTAGACGTCACACATATACTTGATATTCCCTGTCACGTAGACAACACGCAACTACTTAAAAATTTATGTCACATAGACATTTCACTGTTACTTAATATTTCTTGTCACGAAGACGATACACAAACTTAATATTTGCCATCACGTAGACGTCACACAAATACTTAATATTTCTCGTCACGTAGACGACATGCATCTACTTAAAAATTCATGTCACGTAGACATTTCACAGTTACTTAATATTACTCGTAATGAAGACGATTTGTATGACACTTCTATTGCATGAACAATTCGTGTATTTTAAAATATTTCCAATTGATTGCATGAGCGATGCTCTCATTGCAACTCTTGCCATTTTGATGGCACACACCCACATTATTATCTTATCATAGGAACGCATCATGTTTGCAAATAAATTCAGCTCAAGCACAATCAACTCAAAACACATGTCTTTGTTCCACCACACAGTCGACCCAAGCCACAAAGACTTAATTTATCTCTTAGACAATTTCTATCACACAACGATATTCTACCATTCAGTTGTATACTCTCAACAAAAATCATAACATAAACATATAACAAAGCTTAATTGTTACTCAATAAAAGATGTAGGATATTGCGCCTACCTTACAGGGAATTCTATCTTGTAGACGACCCTTCTGCCATAACTTTGAGTGTGGTGTTCTTTGAGGTGTTCGCCTCTAGATCTGGTACACCCAATATTTAACAACCCACTCGGCATTAATATATAATATTGCTTAAGTAAGAATTAGTTTATTCACACCGAATTTTAATAATTATTCTAATTAACTAAAATAATCTATTCATATCGAATAAGTTAATCTACTTGAATTAGTTGAATTATTCTTCTCGAATCAGTTAAATCAATATATTCATACAAGTTACTCCAAATTCAACCATTCTCAGAAATCATAAACATACTAAAAGTATACTTGAATTTACTCCATTTTTCCATGAAACCCATAAAATCACATGCTTTCTTGTAACTAATTCATACCCATGGATTTATGAGAGTTCAAGGGACGATTAACAATTCGCAAGATTTCTAAGCTACCCACCAATATATTTCCTCTCTAGGCCGAACCCCCCCCCCCCCCCCCCCCAAAACACACACACACACAACAATCATAATTTTCTTTATATTTCATGCCATGATTCTAGTTATACTTACACATTCACACAAGCATCAAGGTAAGCCTTCATGCAACACTCAATGGTACAAATACTCAACAAGTATCACACTTAACTTGCATGCAATACCCAAAATGCATACACTGAATTTTTATCTATACATTTAAAAGGAGAGAAAGTAGATTACATGACTTACCTTTTGTACCCACTTCCTACACCCCCAAGTACCACCACTAATCTTCCACCATGAAACCCACCACCAAGCTCCACTTTAAAGCTCCATTCTTTTCGTTCCGTGCCATGGCCGAGACCTCCAAGTTGGAGAGCTTTCCTTTGCCTTTTGTTTTCTTAGCCGAAAATCCACAAATAGTTCTAGAGAGTTCTTCTTCTTCTTCTTTTTATTTTTATTTTTATTTTTATAAGTCTTAATGGAGTGCCCACCCCCTCTCCCTCTAACCGTCCACTCCTCCTCCCTCTAAATTACACCCACACAATTTTTTCCATAGTGGAGAGTGCACTCATTGCATGTCTTTATGTGTATATATAGATATATAGTTCCCTCACCCACACTGGGTGGCTTTAGAGAAAAAAAAAAAAAAGATATATAGTTCCTTACTTTACTTTAGTGGACAGTGCACCAATGCACGTGGACATATATATATCCAAATAAATAATACATCTAATAATCTATATTACTAGCCTTTAATCTAATGATTGCATACATTAGCAAGTATATTTATAATAAGTTAATATCACATGCTTGCCACTTACTTAGTGCCCTATGCACTAACATGCATAAAATAATAAAATTAGGCCACATTCAAGCATACTCATTTAACTTTACACACTTAAACAAAACAATTCGCTCATCGTCATTCAATCTAAATAATTATCATACCTTATTCATATGCACTCTCTAAATATTAAAAAATACCGATCGTTCAGATTCAGGTCTCATATCATATTCTTAATTATATAGTAATTACCAATCATACACATTCCTATCACATGTGAACATGCTCATAATAAATGTTCATATAATCTTTATTCGTATTCAGGTCCTACATATATATTTTGTTTTTTCTTAAATTGATAATTCATAATTATGCACACCATATTTCAGTTATCAATGTATTAAATTGTCTTTGGGTTGGGGTTAGTATTTTTGCTATGGTTAGTTTTTGGCTCTTTGTATGTGTATCTTTGCCTTTTCTTTTTTGGTTTTGGGTGTTGGTGGGAAGTACCTTGAAGAGTGGTGCTTCTTGAAACCAATTTGTGGTTGTTTGGGCATCTAGGTTTAGTTTAATTTGTTCTATATTTTTATTTGGTCTTGAAGCATTAAAATTGAAGTGAACATGCCTTTAACTAATGTCTTAGCATTGCAGTTACAATTTACAATGGCTTTAGTTGCAATGTGATTTTTTTTGTCTTTGCATGCATAATGACAGACAATTTTTGGACTCAATGTGAGTACTCAGGACTCAATACAAGTATTTAGCATTTGTGGGTTTGCGTTTCTATTGGTTTTCTGTGTTACTGCCATTGATTTAGTAGTTTCTTTTGTTTGATTATTTCTGT